TCTTCTTCTTCTTCTTCTTCTTCTTCTTCCTCTTACTCTTCCTCTTCATCTTCTTCTTCTTCATCATCATCTTCTTCCCGTGAAGGGCACCGCCGGTATGGGAGTGAAGCTGAGGCAGATTTATTCGTCTATGCGCCGCTCCCACCACCCCAACGACGCACCACGACCTACAAATCCAAATCCTAACTACAGAGCGGAGGAACGGGGTCCCCCTCCCTCCTATCGCCGGAGCAGCGGCCGGAGGGAGAGGGGGGCCAGCGCACCAGCCGATGGAGATCGGTGGAAGGAGATCGCCTCCCTAGTCGCCTGGCACGCACGTACGGGGTCACGGCACGGGCCGGGGGTATGTACGTACTGTACGTTTTAGGTCAGTCAGTCAAAGTACCAGCCTTAAAAAAGATGACTTGGTTCACCTAAAACAGCACGTGCTGATGTAGTACCACATCGAGCAACTGTTCTTCATTCCTACATTGTGTATTCTTCACCTTTGTCAAGATGAAATGTGCAAAGGAAAAAAATTAGCAATATCTTCAAAATAACAGCTAGCGTGACCGCGAACCAACCTGTGGTTGAGATGGTTAGGTGGACAGTGGTATTCCCAACCCACCAGGGTTCAAATCCTGGTGCTCGCATTATTCCTGTATTTATTTCATGATTTCCGGCGATGCGCTTTCAATGGCCTCGTAAATCTTAAGATGATATGTCGGCTCAGTCTGGGGTTTATTACTTACTCCTATTAGATGTATATTACTCCTTGCATCTACTCTATATACACATTTTCCCCGGCGGATCGAGATCGATCGATATTGCATGCCCCCAGACACTGCATGCCCCCACACATCCTTGCATCTACTCTATATACACATTTTCCCCGGCGTTTCTCTTTATAGGGTCGGTGTTTGGTTACTTGAAACGGAAATAACAATAACGGAGGATCACTCCGTACTGTTTATTTGCCCCCCTCGTTTGTGGCACGTACGGGCAGAAAAGGAGTTAGAACATGACTGTATATCCCAGCAAAAAAACGTAGAACACACCTTTATATAGACAAGGCACCTAGGCAGCACATTCCTGTCAGAATACCGCAAAAAATTATATTCTTTCACCTGGGCACGCCTCCTCTTTATTAGAGTTATTGTACTATACGTATTGGATATAGAGTAATACTCTACCCCAATACGTTTCCTCTTTGTATACGCCACCACGGGGGCTCTTCCCATATATATATAAACACGTAACCGGCTACCCCAAAGGGTATGTCCGTTCACCCCAAAGTCAACATGGTATCAGGCCCCTCCCTTCCCTCCCTCTAGCCGCCGCCTCTGGAGCTTCTCTCCGTCGCCGCCAGGACTTGGTCGCCGGTCTTCCCTGCCGATCTCACACCAACAACTTAGCCTCTACAGGATCACGCCTACAAACACCACGCCCTTGATCGCTTCGATCGCCTTCAGGACAATTCCAATCTTCAACAACCCTCAAACACCCAAACCCTAGCTGATCTCTGCCGCGACAAATCATCCATGGCGTCTTCATCTTCCTCTGCTGGGGTGACCATTGGTGCTCCCCGTGCCACAAAGCTCACGCGGGACAACTTCCTCTCGTGGCAAGCTCAAGTCCTGCCCACCCTCCGTGGAGCTCGCGTCATGCGACTGCTTGAAGGTTCCGATCTGCCACCGCCTGAGTTCGTCGATGGCGAAGATGTTGACAAGGAGAAGATCCAGATTCCCAATCCTGCCTATGATGTCTGGATCACGCGGGATCAATAGGTCGTAAGCTACATCGTCAACTCTCTGTCTGAAGATATTATCTCTCATATCTATGGTATGGTTCATGCGGCTGAAGTTTGCCATGCTATCCACGAGCTGTTTTCTTTCCAGTCCAAATCACGGGTTTCCAACATCCGTGGTGCACTCATCAACACAAAGAAACTTGATATGACAGCCCAACAATATATCACCAAGATGAAAGGTTTTGCTTCTAAACTTGCTACTGCGGGAAAGATTGTTGATGATGATGAACTCAAGGATTATATCATGAATGGACTTGATAGTTCCTATAATGGTTTTGTTGCTGCTCTCAAAGTTGTTCCCTCCACATCTCTCAATGACATGTGCTCTCAGTTGCTGTCTTATGAAAGTCGTGATGCTATGCTCTCTGTTACTGGTCAAGCTTCCGGGTCGTTTATGTCCTCTATTAATGCTGCTTCTCGTGTTCCGAACCTTGACTCTGCAGGGGGTCCAGCGAAACAGCCAGCATCAGCACTATACATGCCCCCTCATCATCCTTCCTACCAGCCGGCCCACCAGTATCAGCCGGTCGCTCCACATGTGCCTGCTCCTCCGGTCCCTCAGTATGCGCCTGCTCCTCAGTACCCTCCACCGGCCCCATACATGTCTCCATACCACCAGCCGGCTCCTTACATGCCCCATCAGTACCCTCCACCAGCTCCATACCCGCTGCAGTTTGCACTAGTGCCATATATGCAGCCCTACATGCCTCCTCCACAGCAGCAACAGCGCCCTCAACGTCCTCCCCAACAGCAGCAGCAGCAGCAGCGCCCACGTCAGGACCGTCGTCCAAAAGGAGGGCGCAAGGATCGTCGTACCACACCATGGCAGGAAGGTATCTTCTGCCAAATTTGCAAAAAGGAAGGTCATTCGGCTGATGAGTGTTGGTGGCGCTATGGTGAAGATGATGATACTGACAAGCCACCAAAGGAGACCAAAGGTGCCTATAGTGTTGATACAAACTGGAATATAGACACAGGTGCAACCAAT